TTTTTATTTGCTTTTATCCACCATTTTCATATGACAGAATAAAAATAATTGCAATATTTAACCTGAAAGCCGTTTTCCAGATCGAAAATTTCCTTGTCTACGGCCCCAGATTCCAGGTAGTCTTTGAACTTGTCCTCCATAACTTCAGCTTCTTTAATGGTCAGAGGCTTCCATCGACTCTTCTTCTTAGGTTTGAATTCCCACACAACATCAGAGCTTAAATAAAAGAGGAAAGAAATGAAAGTCTCAGATTAGTTAAGCAAGAAAACATAATTTATAGATAAAATTTATACACTCACTTTGTTAGGTACACCTGTTGAACTGCTCGTTAAACCAGCTATCTAATGTGTACATCAAAAGGCGCTTTTTAAAAAAAAAACTTTTTTTATGAGTGTAGAGATGGTCATGATGACCTGCTGCATTTCACATCTAGCATCAAAATAAAATAAAAAAAACAGGATTTAAGTGATTATTGTTGTCAGATGGTGCCACACTGCTGATCTACTTGGACTTTCCCATGAAACCATCTCTAGGTTTTTCAGAGAATGGTCTTGAAAAAACAAACAAAACAAAAAACAACTGAAAATATAAAATGTCTTGTTAATCCCAGAGGCAAGAGCAGAATGATCGACTCCTTCCACCTCATAAAAAGGCAGCAATAACTCCAATAAGTACTTGATTTAACCAAGATCTGCAGATGAACATTTCTGAGTGCAGAACACGTCAAGGCTTGAAACAGATGGGCTACATGGCACCTGCAAATTAGAGTTTACTTTAATTTACTATTTATTAAGCAAACACAAAAGCGCAGCACCTTGTGATCCCAATGAAGGCAACCTCTTGGCTGGTGCTGTTGTTCACCAGCGATAGGCCCACATGCCGTAGTGCCAGGACGATTTCCTGTTGAGCAACCTGCACCTTCTCATTGTCACAGAGCATCTTGAAGACCCGTCGCTCCTCAGTGAACAGCACAACACGCTGGAGACCTTAGAACAGATAAATAAATAAAAACAACACACATTTCTTTTGTAACCCAAAGGAAAGTTGTTGTTCATTACCATTACAAAATGAATCGGGGATGAATAAAACCTTAGAAATGAGTCAGACTTGCAGTTCATAACGCCAACATCCTGCCAGAAAACTGTGTTTGTTTTTTTAAATGCTTTTTTTTTTTTAACAGTTCTAGAGATTATATTACTACAATATTGCAACAATTAAGCACTGACAATAAACTGTGGAAACTATAAACATCATTTCAGTTTATTCAACTGCACAAAACAGCTGAGCATTTTAAGATCATTCAACTTTACCTTCATAAAAGGAAATCACAAAAAGTTTGCCCTCCTTGTTTACGTCCTCTCGCAGCTCCTAAAAGACAAAGCGTATAAACGTCAG